AAGTCGAAGGTCCTTGTTCTTCTTCCGAACGAAGAGAACGGGCGCACCGTAAGGTGAGCTGCTAGGGCGGATCCAACCCTTGTCGAGTAGATCGTCGAGTTGCACACGAAGAGCCGGGAGCTCCTCCTCGGACATGCGATAAATGCATCCTTTCGGTGGCACGGCGCCGGCCTCAAGTATGATCTCGTGAGAGATTGGCCGGTCCGGCACTATACCGGAGGGTGTCTCAAAAACATCCGAGAACTCGTCTAACAACCGGGTCACAAGGGGGTCGGAAGACACTTCTGTGGACGACGAATCGGTCGTCGGGACGGTTCGAAGCAAAGCGATGCCAATCTCTTCGACATGCTCGGAACGGCATGTATCGCGAAAAGATTTGGCACTCACGACTTGGCACCTAATGGAAGAGCGAGGAGGAGGAATAGTACACGGGACCTCGGCGCCAGTTGCATCACGAATCGTGAGCGTGCGTCGATGGAAATTGATAGTGTGGTCCGCGCTAGAAAGCCAAGGCATCCCCAAAATGACATCGAAGTCGGTGTCCAACACGTCAAAAGTAACGGGTTCACATGCGTGCGGTGCAAAGTACACCGGGACAGCCGAGATGTAACGGTCTAAAAGCTTTTTCGTCTTACCATCGGCAAGAGCGACCGTCGTCGGGTGTGACTTCCTCCGTACTTGTGCGCCAAGGCCAGCCCGAGTCATGAAGGACTGGTTGATGAAGTTGCAAGTTGCGCCGCAATCTAGCAAAGCGTTGCAGGCCGCTTGCCCAATCTGAATGCGAACGTAGAGCAACGGTGCGTTGTTTTCTTCGTGCCGTTGCGAGACAAACTCGCGGGCCACCTTGGTAACGTAGCCAAGCATGTCCCCCACCGCGACTTCATCTACCGTCGGCGAAGTTGGTGGTGCATGGAAGGAAAGATACTCGTGTAAGAGGGCGCATAGGGCTGCGCTTTGCGGCCCCGGAAGGTTGCCCGTCGTAGGGAGAGGAATCCAAGCGAAATCCTCGCGCGTGAGCGGGTCCAAAGCCTCCTCGTTGAACACGCTTGCCGAATCCCTTGATGAAGACGAAATGGCGGAAGAACCTTCGGACGGTGAGAAAGCCGCACATGTATCTTGTCCTTGAGAAACATCCAGTGAAGGAACGAGCCGGGCAACGAAGTCTTCGAACGAAAGTGGAAGACTCCCGACATCCGCATATGCCTCGGAAGAAAGGGCGGTCGTGCGCACAACCGCTTCCGATGGCGTCAAGGGAGGTGTGGAGTCACCCTTGGCGGCACCTACTTTCCCTGACGGGGTTTCCCCTTGGTGGGGCAATGTGCAGCATTGTGGATGGTGTTGTTGCACCAAAGGCAGTAACGGTACTCGAGTCTCATGCGATAAGAATTCGCCGAGAGTCCGTATTGTGCCCAAGGTTCGTCGGCGGCTGATCCGGTGCTCGGTGTAGAGGTGGACTGAGTCCTCATCTTGTCGCGGCCGTGGTTGTTGCGCGGCCGGCCACCATCTCGGGCAGCTGCCAACACTTCACCCTCGTTTGGTGTTGCAGCCTCGGTAGAAGTAATGCAAGCCACCTTTGGCTTGGGCTGGGTGCTGCTCGTCGTCGCGGAAGATCGGCCGGCGTTGCGGGCTTC